TGTGTGTGTGTGTGTGTGTGTGTGTGTGTGTGTGTGTGTGTGTGTGTGTTGGGAGAAGAGCTGTTCCTTACCCCAATAGAAAAATAGACCTGGGTTGGGTGATTTTAAGACTTCTTTCTTTCTCTCTCTCTCTCTTTCTATCTTCCTGCACAATTGGAATGTGTGTGTTTTGAGGATGCTGGAGGGAGGGGCATGGACCTAAGTATGGCTCAGCAGGCGGTCCTAGCCCTATCCTGGGTCATTTTTCAGTCCTATTCAAACTCATCTCCTACCTAAGACTGAGGAATGGGAAAATAAGGAAAGAAAAAGGGATGTGAGAGAAACTAGTGGAAGGTTCATCCTCAGCTCTGGGTTCCTGGAGGGTCTCTGCCTGGGGCCATGGGGTCCCCTCCCTCTAGCTGGGATTGGCTAGTATGTCTCCCCCATGCTATATTCCCCCACAGATGTGTTGGGCTGATCTGTCTGTGGTGGCAGGGGAAGAGTCAGGGCTGGAGCACAACAGTGTCACTACCATGGGAGGGAGCCAGGGGATAGGGGGAAGGGCCCAGGGAATTTGCACTGCCCCTGGGGACCCAGTGGTATTGCAGTGCAGGGGTTTGGGGAGAGGGTTGGGGAGAAGACCAGAACATTCCCAAGTCAGTGCAGTGGGTTGGTAGGGGTAAAGTGCCACCACCATCCCCACCTCCACCAGAGGTTGGGAATCCAGTGCCAATGCCATGCAGAGCAGATCCTGGGACAGGTTCCTCCGGTGATCCAGTGTCAGTGACCAGGTTGGGGTAGATCAGCTGCTTGCAGGCTCTAGGAGCAGCCAAGAAATCTGGCACAGGGGGTTGGCCTTATCACCAGGATCCAGAAGAGAAGGGACAGGATCCAGCAGGGAAGGGAAGAGGGGAACCCCCAGGCCCTCACCTGGTTGTAACCCCCAGGGCCTGTTTCATGTTCTCATAGACGACATAGGAGATGCTAACAGCTGGAATCACTTTCATGAAGTTGGGGGCGATGCCTCGGTACAGGCCCCACACTCCCTCTCGGGAAAGGATGTGGCGGAAGAGGCCCAGCATGGTGAGCTGCGGGGCACCCTCGATGGAAGCTGAGAGAGGCAGTATAAGGGCAGCAGTCAGATTCTGCTCAGGGGTTCAGGTCCAACCCCTCCCTGACCTTCCTTGGGGCCAGACTCTGGGACTGGGGGATAGGGAGGGTGGCATTCATGCTACTGCCTTAGAGGGAGGGAGGTTAGATTCAAGTCAAGACCTCCCAGGCTGAGAGCAGCAGCTAGGCCCAGGGGACAGATATCCCATTGAGAAAACTCAGAAACCACAGATAGACCCAGTGAGCTGTCAGACTCCTATTTGGCCCTCAATAATCCTCCATAAGTTGTGCCTACAGGGAAAGGTTGGAAGTAGGGAGGACACATTACCCTGAGAAAAGGAAACCTCAGGGTGACGCACCACTAAGTGTAGGCATAAGCAGATAACCTAAAAATGCAAACCCATCATAACTGTTCTCAAAAAACTAAGAAGCCTGAAACTAGGAACACATAGATAACCCCCAAGCCCAAATCCCACAAACAACAGTGAAACTAAACCCATAGTCAATCCCCAAACACCAGCCACTAAAGAGTCTGGAAGTAGAACAAAGTAGGAGAGCCCTGCAGCCCTTTGGTGCTGCCTGGGCTGCCTTAAGGAGTCCCAGAGGTTCTATTGGATTTTGTTTTTCTTTACCCTGTTGACTCTCAGGCACCAGGAGCCCTCAATGGGGGGAAAGGAGAATGGAGGGGCCAGAATGATATTCCACAGTCAGGATCAATACACCTCCAGGAGAACCAGGAACCTATTGACTTCCTCCAGCCCTGTCCTTCCACCTTGTCTTTTCCATGACTCGGGCTTGCAAAAAGTGACTGAGAGATTAGCCTACAGCTCTTGTATTATAACTATGATTTTCTAGCCCTGGGAGGTAAGAAGTCAACCCTGGCCCCAGGGTGGGCAAGTCCTCTGTTCCATCCTTCCTCCTCCATCCTCCTCCCTCCCTTGCAGCCTCACTCACCCTGAGCTTGCATGCGAGTTCGGACCAGAGCCAAGGGATAGCTGGCGATCTGGCCGCAGGTACTGGAAATGGTGCCGCAGGCCAAGAGGATGAGGATCCCTGGGTCAGCTGAGTGGTGGCTGTCCTGCTGGAGCCACTTGTTCTTCAGGGTCTGGAGGAGGAGGACCCAGAGCTGGGGATCTCAAAGCGCCTTTACAGCCCAATTCATGGGCCTTCCCTGGGAGTTATGTCTTCCTGTGCTACTGGAGGATAAATTGAGGCAGCATTGAGCCCTGAGGGGGATAGTGAGGGGTCCTTGGCTGAGGGGAGGTCCAGGATAGTATCCAGGGGATTTTAGCCCATAAAGAAGGGGAGGAACTGACTGACCTCGTAGACGGCCAGGTCGATTCCTGCATATGGGATAATGCCCAAGACGTTGGGTAGGTAGCCCTTGTAGAAGGCTCTGGGCCCCTCCTGTTCTAGGATTTGCCTCGCACAGTCCAGCAGTCCTTTGTACTGGCCAGTCCGACGGAGGGTTAGCCGTGTCTTCAGCACCTGCAATAAGGCCCCAGAACAGCTATCCCGGGGCAGCTATCTTAAGGTAGCTCTGTCCAGAACAAGTAGACAGGGAATCTGATAATCTAGCCCTGAAAGAGCTACTCCCACAACAAGTATCCCTGAATCAGACATAGAACAGCTACCCCTAAGATAAATGGTGGCCCCACGATAGGTACATATGAAACAACTACCCCTGGGACAGTTATCAAGAACTGAGATAGATTCCCCAGGCCAGCTACATCCTAGAATAGCCAAACGAAACAGTCCTCAATCAGTTAGGCACCCCCTTCTTCCTTACCAATGGCTACCCCTATAGCTCTGCCTGCCACAGTTACTTTCTCAAACAGATAACCCCAGCATAACTACACCCACGTGAGTTATCCCATTCTGGAAGACCAACTACTCCCAGTGCCCTATTGCTGTGTGGTAGTCATAACTCCAGCTGTTACTCTCCTCAATAACCGCAGTCAGAGACTCCAGAAGGGAAGATGGTGCCCAGACCTCCCCACCAATACTGCTCTGACCTCCCAGGAAGCCTGTGGCTAGAGGTGCTTTGCTGTTAGTGCCTCCCTGGGCAGCCTTCCCTAGTGAAAAGCCCAATCTTTTCCCTGGCCTTGGCCTCTCTCACCTCCATGGGATAGATGATGGTTTGGGCTGTGGCCCCAGCCAGGGACCCTGCCACAAAGCGTTCCTGCACTCGCAGCGTCTCCTGCTGCCCCCGAATCGCCCATTTGATCTGAGGTGTTCACAGGGGATTGTCAGGATTCTGGCATCTGTGTCAACCATCCCTTTGGAGGGGCCCTCCCTCTTTCTTTCCCTGCCCAGCTCCTGGAGAGACAATGTCTTGCCAAGGGGCAGCAAGCAAGGGAACAGATACTTCTTCCCTCATGCCAATCACATATTTTCTCATGCCCATAACATGCTTCTCTACATCAATCACATCCCCACAATCCAACTATATACTTGCTCACAGCAATCACACATTTGCCCCAATCTATACTCACCTGCTCATAGGCCATGAATTTGATGGCAGATTCAGGTGCGATCTTGAGCACGTTGATGCCATTTCCACGCCATAGAGAGCGGATGCCACCCTCTTTGACCATGCTCCGCAGCCCCCCTAGGACATTCAGCTGGTTGGTCTTGGAAGCATGAACCTGTCAAGGGGAAGGCAGGGCCAACTTTAAAGTCTCCCAACCTGGGCTTTTCAAAAGATTCTGGACACAGGACCCAGGATTGGGATTTAAGGCCTCCATGCCTAATGATTAGGGAATTAGGTCAGGAGAAGAAAGAGTGTTCTGTGACTTTGGCTGAGGATGGGCTTTATCAGGGGAAGGGTTGGCCTTTACCTGCATGAAAACCTTTAGCCTGTCAAGTGGAGCTGTGCCCGTCCGTGACACAGCCCCCGCCACAGCTCCTGCCACCAGCTGTTTCCACCACATGCCTGACAGCTTCTCCTGTTCTGAGAACTCATCTGGCACTGTGAGACATTCACCTATGTCCAGAACCTGACGAGAGGTAGGAAGAGGAACTGAGGTGTGTCACTCTGGTAAGGAGATCCTCCTCTCTCATGGGATCCATCACTTAAAGATTCCTACCCAGAAGAGCCCACTTGAGTCCTGCCCAGGACATTTAACTCAAGGATCTGCTAAGATCTCACTATTGGATCCTACCTAGGGGTTCCCACTTGAGTCTTTCAGGGGCTACCTCAGCCTGACAGATCTTAATCAAGGGACCCTATCAGATTTTACTGTCAAGTCCCAACCAAATCTCCACCACCATCCCCTGCCCCAACCCCACATGGGGATCCTGCCCAGGGATATCCTTGCCCTTGCCCCAGGTTGCAGGGAAGTAAGGAGGGGGCCTTACTCCCCAGGGCCTTCCCCAGAAGTGTTGCCAGCTTGAGAGCCCTGGTGCCTCCGAACTCTGTTCCTCGATGCCCGAATGAAACAGAGAAGAATGGTAAATCCTCTAAGGGGATTACAGCCTGAGGAGCCTTGGAGAAGGGGGGAGTGGGGAGGAAAGGGGAAATCTGACCTAGAATGGCTCCTTCCCTGGGGTCTAGTTGTCCTGTGTGACCCTAGCTCTCTTTCTTTGGGAACCCGGGTATCTGACTTTTCAGCTTCTGGTCCTCCCCCTATTCAGAGCACTATTTTCCCCTCCCAGGGTATGACCTTGACCTTTTCCTTCTAGTTGCCTAGGCCCTATTCCCCCAGTCAGCTCACCGTTGAGTGCTTCCAGAATGTCAGCACATCTTCCATGTTCTCCAGAGGCTGTAGCAGGAAGTGGTCTCGCCATTCTTGCCAGTCAATGGTCATTGTCCCATCACGGTCCATGCTGGGGAGGGAGGGAGGGAGGGAGGGCTGGGGATTGGGAGGAGGGGGTGGATGCCAGGGTTCAGGCTGCAGGGTAGACACCTGGGTCTAGGTCATGTGTGTGTGTGCTTGGGGATGGGGGCAGACACCTGGGTTCAGGCTAGAGGGAGACCCAGAAACATGGGTTCAGGCTACGTGAGTATGAGTAGGGGAAGAGACATCTTGGTTCAGGATGGTGGAGGTGGAGAAGACAACACAGATTCAGGGTTTTTTGGGGGGAGGGGATAAACTTGGCTTCAGGATGGTGGGAGTGGGAGTATAGACATGGGTTCTGGATACCTAGGACACTTACCTGTGCAGAATCTTTTCAGCCTGCTGCAAAGAGATGGAAACGCCCAAGGCTTGGAAGCTCTGTTGGATTTCTGAGGCATCTATATGGCCTGGGAGGGTAAGAGGGAAAAGAGGTTTCCATGGGTTAAATCCACTTGATCTTGAGTGAGAGGGAAGTGGGGACTGATGAACTGGAAGAGATGAGACCCACAAAAGAAAGCAGGAAGAAGGACTCTTTTCCCAGGGATTTGGGATCAAAGTGGGAACCTAGGAGAGAGGACCTGGGGGACCAGAGGCTGGGGCTGAATAGGAAACAACTAGCCAAGATAGGGGAGCAGAGGACCAAAATATTTGGAATAAAGGGGAACATTGCAAGACAACCTCCTCATTTTACAGATGAGGAAACTAGGCCCAGAGAAGAAAAGAGACTTGTCTAAGGTCACCTAGGGAGTGAGAAAAGGCAGAGAAAAGAATTGAACCTAGGGTTTCCTGATGGAAAACCTTAGGTTCTCTCTACTCCACCACATTGCTTCTCACATGCTGGGATTGAGGGGGAGCCATGGATCATGACTGAGGGGCATGTGGGATTTAATGAGCTCTAGGAACTGGGGCCTGGGGCATCCCAGGAAGCAAAGAAGTAGGTGGAACCTCTGGGAAAGGAGGGAGAGAATAAAGAAAGGAGGGAAGGAGGGGCCCCAAGGGCTGTTCTCAAAATAGTCTGTGAGTCACCAGGAAGAAGCCACCCCCCTTCTTCTCTCCCCCCAGGGCTGTCACCCTGGATTGTCTCCTGCCTGAGCCCAACCAATGGCTCTCCTGAAGCCTGGGCTGGGGCAGAAGGGATAGGGGCAGAGAAGAGTCCTCTGTATTAGAATCCTCAGCCCAGCCCAGCCCAGTTTTAGCCCCACCATCCTGGTTCCGGTCCAGGCTGTGGAACATGAGCAGCAGCCGTCTCTCGTGTTCCTGCAGGTAGCGGGTGAATTCTTCAAGGGTCAGGCCCCCATCTTGGTCTACGTCTCCCTCCTGTAGGATGTCCTGGGGTTAGGGGGAGGAGATAATCAGGATGGGGCTTGTAGAGGAAGGAAACAATCAACATGGGGCTCATAGAAGGGGACCCCTCCTGTCTTGTCCTTAAATCATTAGGATTTAGGCATGAAAGGGATCTTAGAGATCATCTCATTAGGATCACCAATCCTTTTAGGTGAGAAGACAAGTCTGCCATGTGGAAGTGGCTTGACCAAGGTCACCTAGGTAGCAAACGGCAGATCCAGAAACTGATCGAAGGTTTTCTGACTCTGAATCCATGCTTTTCCCACTATCTCTTGTTTCTTCTAGAGCTAGAAGAATGTCACTGGAAACTGGGCCATTAGCTAGCACAGCAGACCACCCTTCTCCTTCCTCTGCTTGGGGGATGGGGGAGATTGAGGAGGACTAAGGTTAGCATACTCTAGCTTCCCCTTTCCCAGTTCCTGGGGGTCAAAATCCTTCAAGTCCCCCAGCCCTCTCTGGACAGCCAGATTCCCACTGTCAGAGGCAGAAACAAGTGTGAGTTAAAATAACAATCATTCTCATTTCTCTAGTAGTTCAAGGTTTACAAAGTGCTTGTCTTGGTAGGTAGGTAATACCATTTCACAGGTGAGGAAATTGACTCAGAGAGGATAGAAATGAGGAACAATATGTTGTAACAGAAAAGGTTTTAAGTTAAAAGGCCTGAGTTTGAATCCTGGCTCTGCAAATTATTATCAGAGTGGCCTTGAACAAGTCTCAGGGTCTCCAAAATGGGGATAACAATCCTTGAACAACTTGATGCTGACTGTGTGGCCTTGAACTAGTCTCTCCCACTCTCTAAGAATACACAGGGATGAAGCCCAGTTCACAAGAGATGCATTCCCTGGGAGATCTGGCCCTTGCCTTAGCCTTTCCTAAGCAGGAAGGAGGGGGGACAGGACTGGACCCCCACCTCCAATACACACACACACACACACACACACACACACACACACACACACACACAGTCTTTCATGCAAGCTGGGCAGGGTGGCCCAACACCCCACCCCCACCCCATCCCCAACCAGCTCTGTGTTTACATTCCAGGCATCAGGCTCACTAAGTCCCATGACCAAAAGGCTCAAGGAAGGGAAAGCCAAGTGGGCACAGCTTTCGCAGTGAACTGTGTTCTTATTAGATGGGACCAGTTCAGCTATCTTTCAACAGTAGCCTGTTGATTATTGAAGAAAGGAGGAAAGGAAGGGCTAAACTCTAGGGTCTCTGGAGGCCCTTAAGAAGAGTTACATGCCCCAGGAGACCAGTCTCTAGAAGGCACTAAAGGCTTCCCTACCCCCCACATTTGACCCAGTTTAGAGAGGCAGTACGGTATGGTGAGGAGAATCCTGGATTTGGAGTTAAGATCTAGGTTCAAATTCTTGGCAACTTGGCAACTGATTACCAGTGTGACCTTGGACAAGCCTGGGTCTTAAAAATGGTAACCCTTATACAACTTCTCTGGGCCTCCATCCAGGTGCAGATAAATGAGGAGCCTGGACTAGAATGTCTCTAAAGACCCTTCCAGCTCTATATAAATGCTCCTATGATGGTGTCTCTGCCCCTCAGTTGGTGCTGGTGGGTTCTGGTTCACAGATATGTTGGTGTGAGTCACCTGGGGCCAACTGTCTGAGCCAAGCTGCTAATACTCAAATACACTTTGCTTTTTTCCTGACCTAGTGGATTCCATCAAAAGCTAGGGATGGCAATAATGGAGAGGACTCTATCTCCCAAGGGGCTTCTGCAGGTAGCCTAGGATGATTCCAGACTCTGATGAGAACCATGAGGAGAGACTTGTGAAATGCCAGGCTGGGGGAAGGTACCGCTTGGGAGAGAGCATTTATAGGCACCACAGTGAGTACTGTCCCTGGGGTGAATTGGGGTATTATTCAGGGTCTTCCCACTTTTGGGAGATACCAGCAGGGACATGCCAAACAAGAGAAGGTAAATGGGATGACTCCAGATCCAGATGAGCACTGCCTGGGGCTAAGTTCCATTCAACTAGGCACTGCCAGGGAGATGCTAGGCTGGGGATGGACACCACCAGGGGGTGATTCCAGCCTCTGGCAGGTGCTGCTGGGGCAGACTGGTACCACTAAGATATCAGGGTGGGGGAGGAAGTGGAGGACCTGTCCCACGGCTGTCTATGTAGGCTTATAGGAACTCCCTGGCTGGGAATGGGATGCCATTGACCTTTTGCCGACCTGCCCACCTGCCCACCACCCACAGGAGTGCCCATACCTGGCCGGCGCTGTCCGGGGTCCTCGCACCCAGCCGGGCCAGCCCCAGGCGCAGCTCGTGAATGTCCACGCGGCCATCCTTGTTGCTGTCCAACTCATCGAAAAGGAGGCCCCATCGCTGCTCTCGCTCAGGGTCCCCGGCAGGGGGGCTGTGGCCCGGGCTGGCCTTGGCCATGGCTGCACCGTGGCTACCACCTCGAACCTGACCCAGTGGCCCCCTGCCTCATGCCCCTGCCGGTTCCAGCCCCCTGGCCCTTGGGGGAGGGGAGAGGGGGATATAGGGACGGAGGGAGGGAAAAGGGGGGGTGGCCCGGGCTCAGCTGGGGCTTAGAGGCTTCCTCTTCCCCCCCTCCCAGCCCACCGGCACCGGCTAGGCCGGGCCAGACTGGGATTGAGTCTAGGACTGCTCCCCAGCAACAACAGTGTCCCTCGGCTAAATCCCAGACAACCGCCCGGGGGCTGGGAGAGCTACCAGGAGAAGGAGGGGGGCAGGGAGACAGGCTGGCTGGCAGGCAGTCAGGCAAGCAGACAGGCTTTCGCTGCTTGTCGTCGCCGCACGGTGGAGATATGGCACCTCCTCCCCGCCCCCAGTACCCTTACCCTTGGCTCCGTGGGAGCGAAGAGCGGGGGATGGTGAGGAGCTGGAGAGCCAACACGCTTGGGTTCTGGGATACTCCCCTCCCTTCTCTAGCCACGTGGGAGCGAGTGGTGAGGAATGGGACTTCTGCACCGCCTCCCCCCTTACCCACCCGGTGGTAACTTGTTACAGAAAGCGTGGGATCATGAGGTCTTGGGGACAGGGACTCCTGGGTCCTCCCTCCCAACAGAGTTGGAGTGAGAGCGGGGGATGATGAAGAGCTGGGATTCCTGGATTCTGGGTCTTCCTCTCCTCTCAGTCCCGTGGGAGCAGGGAGTGTGAGGAGACAAGAGGGCAAGACCCAATTCTGAGAGAGAACAGAGTGAGGGGTGGTGAGGAACAGAGATACGAGAACTCTTGGGTTCTGGGTCCTCCATTCCTCCAGCACCGGGGCATCATAGGATCATAGATTCAGAGCTGGACGAGGCATCCGAGATCATCTAGTCACCGAGAGCAGGGGATGGTGAGGAGCTGGGTGAAAGGGAGAGATCCCTGGGTTCTGGGACCTATTCCCCTCCATCCCAGTCTTAAGGGAGTGGAGACTAGGAAAGTGAGGAACTAGGCGTGGGAAGGATTGCTGGGCTTTGGGTCTTCTCATCACCTAAGCAGCAGAGAGATGGCTGAGGGATGGGGATCGTAAGGAGTGTGTGTGTGTGGTGTGTGCAGGTGGGGGTAGAAGTGGGGCGGGGTGGGGGGGGGGAGTGCTGTCAGGACTTCTAGGTTTGGCGTATGAGACTAGAAGAGAGATGGAAAGGACCGCCTGGGAGTCGGGAAGCAGACATGATGAGTTCAGGGGCAACCAGACACCAGGGCTCTTTCTAAACTCAGAAAATGAGGGCGCGGGAAGAAGCTAGCGACCAACCCGGTGCCTGGATGCAAGTTGCTATTCTAGGTGCTCTAACCCTTTGCGTGACTCAGTTTACCACCTCCCCGGGAATCAATACCCCCTCCACTTGCAGTGTGTAAGGGGGAAGAGCTCCAGGATCTGTATAGAGTCGAATAATCCCCCTCAACCGATTAAGGTCACGGGGCCCCAACCAGACTTAACCGCTAATCCTCCCCAGTCTCGTTAAAAGGTGCCTTGTCGCCTGAGAATAAGCCCGCCCGCGCCTTTCCGGGACCTAGCTCTAGCGGAGAATCACAAGATCAAAGCTCGGCCACGGCTCCTTCTCCAGCTCACCATTGGCTTAGACTCCCAAGGCTGAGCTCAGCATCCTCCCGCTGACCCCCTGCCGGCACGAGCCTAAACCATTAGGCTCCGCCCGGCTCCGGAACTCCTTAAAGGGACCTTGACCCACCATATACACAGGGCGCCCGGGGTCTGAGCGTTTCCAAGGTTCTCCCCACCTCCATCAAATGCAGGCCACGCATTTCTCTTGAGTCTGATGGAAGCTTCCAGAATGAAGAATATATCCATCCTCTCGGTCCCAAATTTCCAGTGCAGTTTCTCATCTCCACCACTAGGGGGGCATGCTTGGTTGGGGAAGATTTGGTAAGGGTCGGTAGGAGGATTTGATTCAGTGAGAACTAGGGTAATGAAGCAGTTTCTCACAAAATGTATAGGACCTGGACAATTTCCTCGGGTTTAGAGTCAGTTTAGAGTTTAGAGCATTTATTAAGCACCTACTGCATTCCAGACACTGCTAAGCCTGGAAAGGCAAAATGTTCTCGGGTTCACAGTCTAATTGGAGAGACGCCTTGCAAACAACTATGTAAAGTTATATACGGAATAAAATGGGGGAGGGGAGGGTTGTCAGACCCTAAGACTAGGGGGATTCAGGAAAGAATTCTTGCAGAAGGTGGGACTTTATCTAAGGCCTGAAGGAAAAGGGAGAAGCCAGGAGGCAGAAATGATGAGGGAGAGTGTTCCAGGTATGGGAAACAGTCAACAAAAAATGCCTGGAATCAGGAGATGGATGTCTTTTTTTTTTTTTTTTTTTTTTTAAGGAACACCAAAGAGGTCATGGAACTGAAGAGAAGGTGGAGTTAGGGGAATAAACTTTCCAGTTAAGACTGGAAGGGTAGGAAGGGCCCAGGTTGTGAATGCTAAGCAGTTGATCTTAGAGGTAATAGGGACGCACTGCAGTTTATTGAATGGATGTGGGGTGGGAAGGGTGGGATGGTCAGAACTGAACTTTAAGATCACTTTGACAACTGAGTGAAGGAAAGTAAGGAAAGACTGGAAGCAGGGAGACCAATTGGTGGGCTGTTGCAATAGTTCAGGTGTGACATGATGAGGGCCTGCATCAGAATGGTGGCAGTATCAGAAGGAGAGAAGGGGGTACAGTTGAGAGAGATTGCAAAGGTAGAAAGAACAGGATTTAACAATTAATTGGATATGGGAGGTGAGAGTGAAGAATTGAGAATGCACGTAAGTTTCCAACTTCCAAGGGTGGGAAGATGGTGGTGCCCTTGACAATATTAGGGAAGTTAGGAAGAGGGGCAATCGGGGCAGGAGGGATAACGAGTTCAGTTTTGGATATGTTGAATTTAAGATGTCTAGAGGACATCTAGTTAGAGATGGCTAATAGAGGAGAGCAGAGGGGCCATGTAGACCTCAAGGTAATTCAGTTCAGATAGTTTTGGAATGCCACTGTGTGTACCCCCATACGGATGTGCCCCTACAGATTGAGAGTCAAGGTGATATCATGGAACAAATATTGATTTGGAGTTAAGGTACTTGAGTCTAAATCCCACCCCTGCCATCACCTGTGTGACATTGGGCAAGTCATTTTAACCTCTCTGGCCTGTAAAATGTGGGGTTGGATTAGATGAGGTTCCTTCTAGCTGTATTCAACATCTATGAATTTGTGATTCTGTGTGCCACATACAGGTGTGTCTCTATATAGGTGTTCTCCCATGAAGTCATATTTCCAAGTCAGAGTGTTTCTAGTTAATTTCCCCTTCCTTTCAGGGTGTGGCTCAGAGGCATTTTCCCTCCCATTAACTATCCAGTTGTTGCCTTGGTGATTTCCTAGTACTGATGGAATCTAGTGAATCCTCAGTCAGATAAATCTTGCCTGCATTTTCTCATATAGGTGTGTTCCCCCTTACAGATATGCTCCTATTCACTGAGATGTTTCATTCAAATTACAGGTGTGTGTCCCCCACCTATTAAAACGATGTCCCTCATAACAAGTGGGTCTTCCCCAGCAGGTATGTGGTTCCTCTTAACAAGTCTGTCCCTTATTTTAGGTGTTTCCCCCAACAATTATGTTCCCATTACAAACATGACTTCCTTCATGTTTTCCCACTCCTTTTGAGTCATTTTTCACTCATGTCCAACTCTTCATGACACCTTTTGGGGGTTTTCTTGGCAAATATACTGGAGCGGTTTGCCATTTCTTTCTCCAGCGCATTTTACAGATGAGGAAACTGAGACAAATGAGGTTAAATGACTTGCCCAGGGTCACACAGCTAGTTAGTGTCTGAAGCCAGATTTGAACTCAGGATGATGAGTCTTCCTGACTCCAGGCTAGGCATTCTGCCCAGTGTGCCACCTAAATGTCCTTCAGATCTCCTTAATAGGATAGGTTTACTCCCATTAATGGTTTTTGCTTCCTCCATTACAGGTGTATGATTTCCCAAAAGGTATATATTTCTCCAATAGGAGTCCCCCTAAAAGATGTGACTCTTACAACGGTTTTGTGACCCCCTTACAGGTTTGTCCTTGCCAACAGGTGCATCCCCTATTACAAAAGTGTCTTTCCTAAAAATTTGTCTCTCCATTTAAAGCATGTCCCCTCACCAGGTGTCTACTTATTAAGTTACAGTAGTGTGTCCCTTATTATGTTTTTACCCCATTAAAGGTGTGTATTCTCCCAATTCAAATCTATACCTCCCCAACAGGTATTCTTACATGTGTCCCATTATAGATGTATCTCCCCATTGGTTTAATATCCCATTACAAGTGTATGCTGCCTAATAGGTATTTGTCCTCCTGCTACAGACATGATTCCCCCTACAGATGTATGTCCCATTACAGATGTGTCTGTCTCCCCCCATCCCCCAACAGTATGTCTCTTTAACAGGTGTTTCCCATTATAGATGTATCCTCTGTTACAGGGTTATATACCCCAATACAGTCATTCCACCTTACAGGTGTGTGTCTTCTGTTACAGGTGTGTCCAGCTTAGCCCTGCCCCCTTACCTGGGGCTCAGGTGCACAGACAGGAAGTTTGCTCCCCCTCCCAGGTGAGTGACTAAACTTTCCGGGTCACGTGAGCGGGTGGAGCCAGCTGGAGACGACTGAGGGACAGTAGGACTGACTGCCAGGCTGAGGACCAGAGCTGAAAGCTGGCGCCAGGTAGGGGGTGGGGCAGCTCAGCCCAACTCTTCCCTTCCTTCAGTTTCCCTTCTCGACCCCCAGACCTTCTTCCGGGCCAAGCTGGGTTAATCTTTAATTCCAAGCTGGGAAAAGCGGATGGGGGAGCTGGGAGGCGGGACTCCTGAGTTCCTTCTGGGCTAGGGGCACCTGTCCTGCAGGGATCCTGGGTCTGTCCCTCCCCTCCCCTTCCCTTCCCCCTCCTGGGCCTTGGGCTCTCTCCTTTCTTCCCCTCTCCTTTCCCCTTCACAGTAGCCTGAGATGCGATAGCCACCGGAGGTGGGGAGCCAGGTCGGCCGCGGCATAGGCCTGGTTCGGTTCCCCAGGGGCCCATGGCGAGCAGCCCTGGCCTGGGCCTGTGCTTGGCACTGAGCCTGCAACTACTGAACCCCCAGCCCTCCTTGGCCCATAGTAAGTAACTTCAGGTACTGGTGCCTGGCTTCCTTATATTCCTGGTCAGAAGAGAGGGCCAGGGTGCTTGGGTCCTCGGCCCTGAGAGGAGGGGGACAGATTAGAGGTAGGATTCCAGTGGGGATACCTTTCAGGATATATATTTAGAACTGGAGCCCAAGGACATAGCTCTTTTGTTTAGGAGGGGGTGAAAACGTAGCCCGGGGGTCTATACCAGATGCTGGGAGAGCAGGGAGGTAGTCCTAGCTGGAGTTCCCAGGAAGGATAAGTTTAGATTGGAGAAACCAGCTGGAAGCCAGAACATTTGGACCCCCTCCTGGGAAAAGTCCTAGAGCTTGTGTCCTCAGAGTGGGTAAGACAAGATGCCAGGATACCTGGGGCGAGGAGGGGGAAGGTATTCAGAGCTGGGGGAATAGGATGCCAGAGTTTGGAGAAGAGGGCCAGGGTTGGATTCGATTTTGTCCTCCTGGCTTCCCTCTGACCCGTTCTATATCTGGGCAAAGTCCCTTAGAGGAAAAGGGGTGGAGCTTGAAGGGGGACAAGAGCTAAGGAAACAGGGTAGGGGAAAATCTAGTTTCTGCTCATGAACTGGACACAGGTATTCAGGGATCCTAGGCTAGCTGGAGCCTTCTTGGGGAGTGGCTCAAATCATTCTACTAGTTTCAGGAGCCTGGGGGAGGGGGACTAAGGTGAGTCAGGCACTCCTGGTCTAAGTAAGTAGTAAAGGCCATGCCCATACCTGGGGTTGATATGGCCTGAAGGGGGGAGAAGAGAAGGCAATGGTGTTAGTTTGTGTGTGACTGCTGGAACCCATTCCTTTCCCCTTCCCCCTCTCACTCCCATAGATACTGGCTACTCTGGGCATGAAAGCAACACTACTACCCCTTCCACAGCACCACCGGACAGTGGGGCCTTGGTGAGTTTTGGAGAGGAGGGATGGTTCCCCTAGTAATGTATGACGAAGGGAGGTACAGATCTGGATTTTAGTCACTCTATGACCTTGACCCAAATTCTCTTTTGGCTTCTGTCTCCCCATCTGTAAAGTAGAATAGGGGTGGGGTAGGACTTGATCTTCCCTGGTAGTTCACACTGTTGAATGTTATAATGTCCTTTCCACCCTGAGAAGCTCCATGTGTGGCAAATGGAGGGGTGTGTGTCTGTGGGGAGGGGAATGAGGGAAGATCCGAGCATGCCTTCTCAGTGGGTGACTCCCCTCCTTCCCCCTAGTCCCAGGGTGCAGTCACTGCCATCATCACTGTATTCTCAGTCCTGGGTATCCTCCTCCTGGTAGTGGCACTGGTCCTGCTGGGCCGAAAGCTTCGTGAGAAACGCCAGACAGAGGGCACCTACAGGCCCAGCAGTGAAGAGCAGGTGGGTGCCCGGGCTCCACCGCCCCCCAACCTGAAGCTTCCCCCTGAGGAGCGGCTCATTTGAGCACTGCATCCCCCTCTTCCTGCACATAACCTCACACCCCATTTCTGGTTTTGGACCTGCCTGACATTGGGCACTCAACCACTTTCACAACCCCCTCAGGGAGCATCTGGAGTAACAGTGAGGGCCTCAGATGCTAGGGGCTGGCAGGGAGTGGGCAGGGGGTGCTGACTCGGCTGCCAGCCACGGCCACCCTCACTACACCACCAAGCCTATTGCAGACTTCTGACTTTGGTATGTGGACATTGGCCTGGGACTGGCGGCTGCTACTTCTGCTTTTCCTGACTCGAATTGTGGTGGCCACCTGGCCCTCTTCCCTGATGGCCTGCTCCTGCCTTTCAACCCTGGTCTCCTTGCCTTTCAGTTGTCCCACGCGGCTGAGGCAGCCCCAGGTCCCCAGGACTCGAAGAACAAGGCATGGGGCTGGGTGTCCTGCTGGGGTTAGGGTGGGTGCAAAAGGTTTGGGCCCCCTTCCCCTTTGTGGGGAGGGGCAGAGACTGCAACTGAGCATCCCATACCCCTCCCCAGGCTATTTGATTAACATTCCACCCTCCCCGTGGCCACTTAACTCTCTCAGGACTAATCTTCCCCTCCGGGTGAATAATAATAGGTATTTGAACTGAAAAGGAGGTGCTTGGAAAAGTCTTCCGCCCCTTCTGGAAAATCTCCCCCCACCTACCTCCTTTCTCTGAAACTCCCTGGTCCCTTTTTCCTCTCCCTTTCCATTGCCACTACCTCCAGTTACCTAGAACTGTCCCTGGGAGGGGCTGCCTGATTTGTATTTTTTATAAAGATGGTCATAAGGTCAAACCCTGTATTTTATCATAGTGGTTGGGGTGTGGGGCTGATGCCCTGGGGTAATAGTGGGGTAGTAATTAAGTTTTTCCAAGCACACACCTTAGCTCACCTGTTGCTAAGGTCCTTTTCTGCTCTAAATTGAGTCTTTTACTAATGAAGGCAAACAATCCCAAAGAGGTTTAGTGACTAGGTTTAATGCATTACCTAGATTCCAAATCCTGAGCTAGAACCATTCCCACTTAACCGAGACCCTTGAGGGGTCCCATAGCTAGATGGGAATAGTAATTGCCATTTTTCTGGTGTTTTTAAAGCTTGCCAAATTCAAACTTTACATGATCTCCATTAAACCTACCCACAACCCCATGAAATAGATGCCAAAGGTGTTAACATTCATTTTACAGATGAGACAGGTTCATATGTTCATTTGCTGTGCTTGCACACATAGCTTAGCTATTGATTGTCAGAACCAGGATTTGAACTTGGGTCTTCCTGGCTCCGGATCTAGCACACTATGCTAACCCATTTGGTTTGGAGTAGGGCTCAGATTCCAGACCCAGAAAATGGGTCTTTGTTTCCTCAGGTCTGAAAAACCAGCTTATCTACTAGCTGGTTGCTAGAGGTTGCTGTATTACACAAAGCACAGGCCTGGAGTGGGGATGATTCATCTTCCGGAGTTCAAATCTGACCTCAAACACTAGCTATGTGACCCTGGACAAGTCACTTAATCCTGTTTGCCTCAGTTTCTTCATTTGTACAATGAGCTGGAAAAGGAAATGGCAAGCCACTATCTTTGCCAAGAAAACCTCAAATAGGATCATAAAGAGTCAGACACAACTGAACAGCATCTACCAGCTGCAAACCCTTTGGCCCTAGGTGACAGCTGAAACAAACCCAGATTTCCAGACTCCTCATTCAGTGATTCCAGCACGTCCCTCATCTGGGAGAGCTAACTCGGTCTGGCTGGGGAAATCTGAGGGGTGCAAACTGGCAGAGCCTGGCATGTATATAGAACAATCCTGCCTCCCCCAGGAGTGAGGATGGAGGTCACTGGCACAGGAGAAATAGCTTTATTGGGGGAGGCATCAAGGCCTAGTGTGGGGCTTGGTACTACAAGTGAAATTGGTATTGTATGGAAGTGGGAGGAAACCCAAATTAGTCACTGGATTTTTTTTTCTCAGTTTGGCCTGGCCAAAGGAATTGCCCCTAACCCTCAAACTGCTTTTTGAGCTGAGCCACCCTGGGCTGAATGGAGACCCTCTCTCTGAGGCCTGGGGACATTTCTCTATCGGTGTTTTGGGGTATAAGCACAGGGCTGGGGGGCCTGTATTCACAGATATTGGGAATCTCAAGCTCTGAAGAGATTTGGGAGGACTGAGGTACCTCAAGGGTCTCAGGGGGCAGCAACTTCGACTCTAGAATTTCTTCCTCAGCCAGGAAGGGTGGATGACTCGGAGAAGAGGCTTGGGGGACCCCAGTATCCACAGAGGTTTGGGAAGCCCTGGCTTCTTCTGACCTTTGACTGGGAAGAGCTGCAGCAGGGACTCTGGGAGATAGCAATTGTTTCTTTGAAGTTTCTTCTTCCTCTAGGTGGTGTATCTGGTGGGGAGAGGGTGGAGAAAAATCAGCTGAATGGATTTACTGGGCAGATTTGATGGAGCACTTGAGATAAAACCAAAGTTCTTAACTCAGCATTTCCCTACCATGGAACAGGCTGCCTGGAAAAACGTCTTTAAGTTAAAAACTGGAGGACCACTAGTCGGGGGCCAGAGGCTTAGAAATGAAAGAGACTCTAGATGTCACCTAGTCCAATCTCATTTTACAGATGAGTCAGGTGTAGAGAGGTTGAAAGACTTGTCCTAGGTCACATAAATCAGAGAGTATTCTTGTTCAGCTAGATGTAGTAAAATCCCTAATAGCTATGAAATACATTATTGTATGGGGGTAGAGAAACATCCAAATATTTTGGGGAGGAGAGTGCCCTAGAGGCCTGTTGGAGCTAATGGAGGCAGTGCCACCCCTCCCCCACCTTAGGGAGACCCAACTAGTTGAAGTGAGCAGTCCAGTGGGTATGAGCTGGAGGCTTTAAAAGGGGGCTCACCAAGTTGAAACAGCTGCCCTGACCCAAGTGGCAGCTATCCAAGCTGTGGCTGGGGTGCAGACCAGGGGATTCTCCAGGCCCAGATGTCCCAATGCTAAGATTGTCAAGAATCTCCCCAAGCAAGTCCAGTTCTCCTGAGCCCAGGAAGTTGCTGTCCAAGTCTTCTAGTTCCCAGGGTTCCTTGGGCCCAGACAGAGGTTCCCTAAGGGAGGAGAGAGGACTCAGCTTCTAGTCCCAAATCAAGAATCCCGGCCCCAGAGGAATCCAACCTACCTTTGTTCCTCTCTCTGGGGTGCCTCATCCTCAAGGCGGGACTGGGACCTCCGGGGACGCAGGGGCCTGGACTGGAAGGGGTATTGGGAGGGTTAGCAATTCCCAGACACTTTTCTTCAGGGTGCAAAGTGGGTCTTGGGTTTTGATCATGTAACCAGGTGATAATTTGGTACATGCAGGGGTAATGAGGTGTCCCTTACCTGGCCAAAGTGGTGAGTGATGGGCAGACGGTGTTGAAGACGTTCTGAGCGGTTGTCAGGGGCTGGGACCCGGAGAGAACCTCCTCTCTGCAGCAGGAGGTCACTGTCCTGGGGGAAGGGAGGCCTGTAAGCCGAGAACGTCTCCTAGCCCCACTTCCAGGACTTCCAGTCAGTCTCTCTCTGTCTTACCTTGTACCTTAGCCGATTTTGCACTCCCTTGAGTCCAATCTTGGCCTGGGGATGGGAAAAAGGAAACCAGATGTTTTTGGAGGGGATTCTTGGCTAATTCTGACTGCCTTTTCTGAAGCCCTTTTTAAAGTCTGCAAAGTCAATTACATTCCCTCATTAGATCCCCACAGCAGGGAGAATTAAGAGTTTACTGGTATCATCCCCATTTTACAGATGAGGAAACCAAGTAGTGAAATTACTTGCCCCAGAGTCTTAGGTGTGGGATTTGAACCCAGGTGTTCCTGGTTCCCAACCCAGGACTGTTCCTTTGAGTCAAACTACCTAGGGCTGGGTCAGAAAGGCCCCAAGCACCAAAATTTAGAGGGTGCAAGAATGTAACAATGGGCTGTACAATTTTAAAATGTTACATTTCCTTTGTGGAAACACTTTCACTACTTGAACCAACTTTGAAACTAGTTAGTATGAATACTAGCAGATTGCCCTTCTTCCATACCTATCAGGTGACCTCCTTAGCCTGGGCTCCCAGGGTCCCTCCCTGCCCCTGAGCCATAGCTGCAAGCTCCGTACTCTTCCCAAGATTCTCTGCCCCCACACCCCACCCAGCTTGGCACACAGCTCTAGTCTCTGCTGCCACACCCCCACCTCCTGCCTGGATGGTCCTTACAGAGCGGTACATGTTCTTCACAGCTGGCTGGGTTTTGGCTTTCACAGAATGCAAGAGGGCTCCTCCACCTTTCTGGGGATGGATACAGAAGAGGCTCATTGCTGGGAGTGTTGGGGGGTAAGGGGGAAGAGGGCTGGGAGGAAAGGAATGACTTGGTCTTAGAGGAATTGGTAGGAAGATGATAGATAACTGAGGCCCTGGGGGGGATTGCTCTTACTTTCAGATTGTCTGCCCAGAGCTGATAGGATCGATGGCTTCCTGGTTTGGGAGAGAAAGAGACTTTAGCTATGGGTCTCCAGACTGATCTATCATTCCCTATTCCTCCCTCCCACTCACCTCCAGTCGGAGGCTGGGAGGGAACTTGGATCCTGGGATCACTTTGGGGCTGGGAGCCTAATGTCTCACCTGAGGCCAGCCCATTGCTAGTGATTTCCTGCTCAAACAGGTCAGAGAAGCCTTCCCCAGAATTCAGCTTCTCTAGGCGCTCGTCAATGAACTGGGGAGGGAGAATCAGGTATATGGCCTGCCCTGGCACCCAAGCATCAGCCCCTCAATGCCTATGCCTTTGACTTAGACATACCTGTTTGAAGAGTTGCAGGTGGATGGCACTTTGTCTGAAGGCCTGTAGGGGTCCTGGCTTCTGAGCCAGGAAAGCCTCCTCACTGAACTTCATGGGCTGTCCCTGGAGAGCCATTGCATCCTAAGATGTCTTTTCTATCTTCATACTTTCACCTTCTTGACCACCAACCCAGCCACAGAGGACTAACCCTTGATTCCACCCCATCACCACCGCCTAGCTGAGCTGACTAAAAAGGAAATTAAGTAATAGAACCCAAGAATCCTTTTCTGTCTACATCTATGCCCATACCCCAGCGGCTTCAGCAACTTAGGAGTTCTGCCCCCCAAGCACCAGTAGTCTAATCCCTTCCCCCTAAGGCCTGTATGTCTAGATGTCTGCTCACATGACTGTAGATCAGGGCGTCTCTGTAGCCACCAAAGAGCACAGCTTGGGCTTTCAGAAAGAGTCGAGATACTCCATCACCAGCCGCCAAAGCTTCCTTTCTTAGCCTTAGTCTCAGGAGAGACACCTGTTCCGGGGAGAGGTAGAACAAGGGGACCTGAGAGGGAACGTTCCCTTCCTCTCCCCAGCAGGGTCAGCCCCCCAGAACATGAATATGACCACATATTCATGCAGGAGACAGAGTGAAGGGTCTTTGGGTGGGGGGTGGTTTATACAGAAAATGGAATGACAGAGCTGGGAGAGACCTCAGAACATGGAGCCTAGAATGCCAAACTGAAAGGCATCTTCATAGATTTGGAGCTGTAAAGGACCATGGAGATCATCCAGTACAATACTCTCATTTTGCACATGAGGAAACAGGCCCCAAGAAGTTAAGGGAAGTATCCAAGGTCACCCAGGGTAGCAAAATCAGGATTTGAAGTCAGATTCCCCGACTTTAGTGTTTCATCCATCACACCATAGTTCCCTCATCAAATCCAGCCTCCATATTTTGTAGAAGGGGAAGCTGAGGTCTAGGGTGTGAATAAACAGTGATTTACTCAAGGTCACACTTCGAATTCAGAGCAAAGAAGGGCAAGAATTCAGGTCTCCAGACTCTTGGTCTATTATTTCAACAATTCTTAGGTAGTGCCTCATTTTCTAGGAACATGAGGGGAGACCAAGAAGATGGGGTCCCTGGGAATGTTTTCCATCATGCTCATCTCTCTGTAAAAGGAGAGTGATCTATGTGTGCCCTACCTGCTGCCCAGACAGGCTGGAAGTGGGATAAGAGACAAGATGGGAAATGGTTGTCAAAGAGAGACAGGGAACCTTGAAGGAGGTCTTAGAGCAGGAAAGGACTGACCACATCTGGGGGCAGTGTCTCCACATCCTGGAATGGTGACTCCAAGGTGTTTGTGTCCACATTCAGGATGACCACATCCTCCAGGGCCTTGTCCCGGACCCTCTGAGGGGAAAGAGTCAGGTTTGCCCTCTAATTTCTGGGGCTGAGGAGCCAACTGTTTCTTTGTTTCCCAACTTCACTCACCTCAATAAGGCTGGTGTGGACACCGATGAGGTAAGGCATAGGGGCACTGCAGGCAGAGGGAGAATGACTCAGGTAAGGGAAGACAGGGAAAGCTAGCTCCAGGAGATCACCATGCCCCGAGCCTGCCTGCCTCCACACCCCATTTGATTCCTCACCAGCAGTAGTCCAGCAAGTGAGGGGGTAGTGTGGGGATGAGTATGTGTTCCCAATGCATAGGATACAGCAAGCCACAGGATGCATGGACGCAGGCGGTCAGCTGGGAATGATGGAGATCCAAAGAGAGGAAGTAGTTATGGGCCCACTGCCCAACCATACAGACTCCCACAGACTCCTAGGTCCTCCAACACAGAGAACTCCCATGGCCCTCCTATCCTCCCATCCCTTTCTTCAGTGTGTTTCTGGACCTGAGCTCCTTCCACTCCACATTCACTCCCTATCATTCCACCTTCTTATGCCCAGAGTTAATTTCTTGTCTGTAGATACTCCTTCTCACATGTGCCCCTACTCCTAGACCCCTCATACAAGCACCCTTGTTCATATTCCTAATTCAGATTCTCCTATCCTCGGAGATCTTGTTATCCCTCCACCCTTAACTCCTGGGCCTCTGGACTTTTCCCTCTAGCCCAGAGGTTCCCATTGGTCTCCAGTAACCTGTCCTTTGTGTTCCCTTTCCCACCAAAAAGATCCTTGATCCTCATCCTCTCACCCTAGAGATTCAGGACCCTCGGAGCCACTGACACCATTCCTGAATTCTCATCCCTATTCCTCTGCCCCATTGCCCTAGTCTCTGTTCATCCTATCTTCAAGCCTGGCCAGGACAGAATGGAGCCGGGCCTCACCGTGCTGAGTTTGCTGGCAGTGAGCAGAACTCTCCGCTCACTGAGCAGAGAGCTATAGAGGCCCACGATGTTCTCTGAAGCCACAGCTACCACCAGCTCTGTCAGGTTCCTCTGTGAACAGTTGAATAGTCAAGGGACAGCAGTGCCAGGTGGGCCTGAAGCCTCTGCCTCTGGCCAGCCCAAGCTCCTGCCCTCACCCCTGCTCATCCTAATCTTGCTCCCTGGTTGGACCTCAACTCACATTTTCTGGGATGGAGGGCAGGTGTCCAGAATCTGGAGCAATGAAGCAGGAGAGCTGAGGGTGGGGAGGAATATCGGGGTTTCAGATCTTGGTTCTTGACTTCCAGATATGAAAAGGAATCCAGCTTCCCCATAATTTTCTCACCACTCCCTTTTTGATTACTCCTGGTATTTGTTATCAGATCTCCCCACCCCCCTCCAAACTAACCTGAGCCCTCTACTTGATCTCTACTGGCTTTCAACACCAACTTCTGAAAGAATCACACCAGTCCCAACAGTTTCCACACAATCCCCAGGAAGTTTCACAAGTAATGCCATTAGATTTGCATCAAAATACCCCATTAGATCCCACTGGACCTATTAATGGTAAGAGAGGTAAAACCTACTTTGATTCCCTACTAGGTCCCCTTTTGACATCTACCAGATCCCCACTGGATTCTGCCACCAGTTTTCCTGATGAGATAGGTAACTGGATCCTACCTGAGGTTCCCTCTATTCTCTGCAGTTTCCTAGATGCTTCACTCCCTGCCCCCAGACCCTAGTTCCTACCCCAGCCCTTTCCTTATTCACCAGTTGGTTGGTCCCAGGTGCTGGAGGTAGGGAACTGGGGTGACTGGTAATTCTTAGCTTGCCCTTCTGTGGGTCCTGAGGATCCAAATGGAAAGGTAGGGGTGAAGAATGGAGCCGATGAGTTTTTCCTGTCCAGCCCAAGAGGCTGATTACCAGGCTGACCTCCCCCAGATGGAACCCTGAAGTAATGGAGACCCAAGTGTTCTGAAGAGGGTACGTACCAGGGACAGTCCCAAAGGAGCCTCTGGCCCAGGTACTGGATGCAGATACAGGGTAGAAAGAAGTTCTTCAGCCTCAGAGACCTGTGAGTGGAGGCAGGAGGGCTCAGGGAAACATGGGACAAGCAGGCAAGGGAGAGAGGGGAGAGGAAAAGGGGCCTCACCTGATCCTGGGCTAACAGGTCCCCAAGACTGTTGAGCAGTTTGTAGAAAACCTCAAACCAGGGCAGATCACTGAGGGGAAAAGGGGCAGCTGGCTCTGGGGTGGAGCAGGATCCCATCCCCCTTCTATCCCAGCCCCTGGGTAGCTGGGCTAGAATAGAACATCTGAGCTGGAAGGAACCTTAGAGAGTATGTCATTTGGGCATGCTCCCCTCCACCCCCTAGCTTTTGACAGATGGGTCTCAGAGAGGGGATGGGAACTTACCCAAGTTGCACAGCTAATCCGTGACAGAACTAGGGACAATCTAGGCCCGCTGGCCCCCAGCCCACCACTCACTCCCTGTCTCCCCCACCCCCAACCTGAGTATGCAGAGGCAGCTCCTGGCGCTGGTCCCCAGGCGACAGAAGCCAAATCTTCGGCTCCCAGCCAAGTCGGTTAGGACAAAGGTGAAGTGTTGGGCAGCTAGACTGTGGCCTGCCCTGGTGAATGTGGGGAGGGAGGGAAAGCTGCTCAATGCCCCCACCCACCTCATGCAGGCTCCCAGGCCCACTCCCCCTCAGCAGAGTACAAATCCATCCCATCTGTTGGTCTCTCCTCTTTCCCTCCCAGCCTCAGTGGCTCTTTGTCCTGCTATTTTCCTCTGTGCCTGTATCTCTGTCTCTGACTGTGCATGGCTCTGTGTCCTGGCGTTCCCTTGTTTCTCTGTGTGTCTTTCTCCATTTCTTTCTCCTCACCTCTCCAAGTCGAAAGGGAAACAGAATTTGGGTACTGTTTGCATTAATTCCTAGGGATGGAAACAAAGGCAGAGCAGCTTGGCCAGGGGCAGGGATTGGGGGTTGGGGGTGGAGAAGGTCCAGACCTGGACATAGAGGCCTCTATATCCCCTCATCAGGACCTGGACATCAGGCTTCTATTGCCCCTCCCCCATCCCTCTCTTTGGTTGGGGCCCCCATGGAGGAGGGAAGGGATGGTAGGGTTGGGACCCTGGCTTCTGGGGCAGGGATGGGTACATACCTCATCAGAAAAATCCTTAGGGAATTGGCGCAAGATGGGGGGTGCTGCAGGGACAGCTGGTTAGTGAGCTCAAGACCTCCCAAACAACCCAGACTTCCCTGTTGCCGCCCCCAGCCTCAGCTCAAGGGCCTCACCATCTATACTCCTTTTTTCTACCCCTCTTCTTGACCCTACCAGACTAGATGGAACTCCCTCAACTTACCATCCTGCAGAGAGGTGGGGTAGGCGGCCTCAAAGAACCAAGCAAATGTGCTCTTGGGATCCTCCCTGGGGAACAAAGAGGGGTGGGGAGGGCTAAGGCTCCAGCAACTGGGGTACGTGTGTGTGTGTGTGTGTGTGTGTGTGAGTGTGTGTGTGTTTGTTTTCACCTGCTTATCTCTGGGTAACACACTGGATAGAATGCTGGACTTGAAGTCAGGAAGTCCTGAGTTGAAACCTATACTAGCCTGGCAAATCATCTAACATCTCTCACATTAACAGTTAGGGGACCCAGGCCTGAAGTCATGGTGAAAGCCCTGAGTTCAAATCCAGTCGAAAACTCTAGCTGTGTGACCCTGGGCAAGTCACAACCCCTGTTTGCCTCAGTTTCCTCATCTGTAAAGTGAGGATGATAACAGTACCTACTTCTGAAGGTTGTCATGAGGATCAAATGACACAATAATTATGAAACACTTAGCCTAGTGCCTGGCACATAGTAAGCACTATATAAATGTTACTATTATTTTATCTGTAAAATGGGGATAATAATGGTATATACCTCCCAAGGTTGTTGTGAGGATTAAATGAGATAACACTTGTAAATCTCTTTGTAAAGCTTAAAGTATTATATACATATTTTTATGTGTTTCTGTATCAGTTCTATGACTTACTACTAGTATGACCCTGTGCAATTTTTAAAAAAAATTAATCCATTAAACATTTATTAATTGCCTACTTTATACAGAGCATTGTATACAGTTCTGGGTGATCAACAAAAGTTTAAATAACATACAGCCCCTACTCTCATGGAGCTTAAGGTCTAGTAGGAAGACATGATTTACATATAAATAATAATAGTACAAATAATACTTGATAAGCACATTAAAGACTGGAGGTACAAAGGACTCAAGTGCAAACCAAGATGAAAAATGATTATTAAGAAGAATCAGGAAAGGTTCATGGAGAAGGCAGCCTCTGAACTGGGCTTTATAGGATAGGTAAGAGGTCAATGGGTGGAGAGAGAGAGAGAGAGAGACACAGAGAGAGAGAGAGAGAGAGAGAGAGAGAAAGCGAGCAAGGAGTTTCCAAGTGTAGAAAGCAAAGTGAGCAAAGGCTCACTTTAGATATTATTAGGTTAAGTATCAAGCTTGTTCTGTAAATAGTAAGGATTCAGATCTTGGGACCTCTGTTTCCTCGTCTGCTAAGTGAGGAGGTTGGCCTAGATGATCTTTCAGCTCTAAGCTCAACTCCTGGGCCCTGTCCCTATGTTGGGGTCTATTTCTGTATCTGTCCCCCTTTAATCACACAGCCTTCTCCCAAGTTGAGACTCTCATTAACCCTCACCTGGCTATTTCAAAGGCCTCTCCACTGGTCTTCCTCAAGTCTCTCTTCATTCCAATTCAACCTTCACAAACCTGCCAATACAATTTTCCTGAAGCATGAATCTGATTGGGCCACCCTCCCCCACTCTATAAAATCCACAGGCTCCTTGTAACCTGAAGCCCTTTGCAACTAGGTACCTTTCCCAAGGTACCTTTCCAATCTTCTTACACATTACTCCCCTCTACTCCCTCTTCAGTCCAACCAAACTGGCCTTCTCCTGGTTCCTCACACGTGATGCTCCATCTCCTGTCTCCACCTCTTTGGATAGGCTATCCTACATGCCTGGCATGCCCTTTCTCCCCACCTCCATCTCTTGGAATGCCCAATTTCCTTCCAGTCTTGGTTGTACATGGGTCAGTTGGAGTAAATCCAGTGCTGTTGGCCAGAGGGTACCTGCCAAATCCATCCCATCTATCAGTCTCTCCTCTTTTGCATGAAACCTTTCCCGGGTCACCTAAGCTGTTGTGCATTTCTTGAATCTATTTTGTATAAATAGCTACATATGTGCATTGTCTTCCTTTTTGAATGTAAGTTCTTGAGGTAGGGATAGTTCTGTTTTTCTCTTTGTATACCAGTGCCTAACAGATGCCTGGCATACCTAGTAGGCACTCAATAAATGTTTGTTGGTTGATTGATTGGTCGGTGCATGTCCCTGGGTCTCCAGGGGTCTTCTGTCTCTGTTTTTGTGCCTTTTTCCATCCTCATGCACAGAATCTCTCACTGACTGCACCGTATTTCTGGGAAGGCACAAGACACCTGGGTTCTCTTATCCCTATCATCCATCTCTTCCAGTCACCTCCTAGGATAGCAGTCAAAAGAGTCTACGGAAGTGAGGAAGGATGGAGAGGTAAAGGCAGAGAAACAAGGAAAGACATAAATACAAAAACAGGGAGACATAGAGAGAGACAGAGACAGAGACAGACATGAAGGGAAGGAGGGACAGGGAGACACACAGAAACTCAGACCAGCAGAGAGAAAGAGGCAAATAGAGACAGACCTGGAGACAGGCTGAAGGGGACCAGAGATGATGGAGGCTGCACAGGAAGGTTTTGAGGTGGCTTTAGTAGAACTGTTCTTCTTCCTTAGGGCTATAGCCAGCTCACTCTCCTCCTCATCATGAGATCTGTTCCCTCCCTTCCCCTGTTTCCCCCCTACCTTAACGAGAAGGGCTCTCTTGGTTCAAGTCCTTACCCTTGGGCTATACTTAAGGGGTATGGGGAGATGCCTGGGCCTTACTTGATCCCGGATCCCATGGTCCCCCTGCTGAATGGGTGCAGCACAGTGTGGCCAAGACAGGCTTCCCTGGGGGTCCCGACTGGGACCTGTGCTGAGGCAATGGGCCAGGGGTGCTGGGTGCTGCGCTCTTTCTTCTTCCTGTGTGGCTTAGAGAGGAAGTCTGCTGGGTGACGTCCCCGGAGGCAACTCTCCCCTCCCTTGCCGGCTTTGCAGAACCCAGGCACACTGCCTTCCAGTCTCCCCCATGAGGAAGTGGGGCTGAGTTGTTGCCTCTGGGCCCAGATCAGAGCTGAAGTAGCCAGAGGCCAGCATCACATCTATACCATTTGGGCAAAGTTGGTCACCTGCTAGATGAACTCCTATAGCTGACTGCAATTGCTTTGCAACTTGCTGAGACTCTCCTACCTATCCAGAGAGCTTCCTTCCCTCCCTTTCTTCCAGGCTCCTTCACCTTGCTCTGTCCCTCCATCTCTCTATCCCTATCCCTTTGTCCCTCCTCCCAGTGGCTCTTCTGTCACCTCCCTGTCCAGGTACAGGAAGACCACTAGAGGGAGTCTGAGTTGTATAGTGGGAGGAAACACACAGAATGAGGTACTTAGAGAAACACAAATAAACACACACCTTCCCACCATTTCCTGTTCCTCATGGAGAGAAGAAATGAGTGTGTACATGCATACAGCACCACACTTCTGACACCAGGGACACTGATTTGTCAGGAAGCAGGCAGCTGCGGACATAGACATATCCAGAGACTGGGTTCATGTTCCTGGAGTGGCAGGCACCCTCTGGCCAACAGCACTGGATTTACTCCAACTGACCTATGTACAAATTATGTTGTCCGAGAGAGAGATAGGAATGGAACTGAGGAGAGAGACAGCGAGCGCAAGAGAGAGCAAAGTTGGGGACTAGACAGGGAAAGAGACAGAGCTAGGTCCTGATGGGAAGCATGCTTGGAACCTGGATGGTGGGAGCATCAGGGAGAAGAGATTGGGGGATGGAAGGAGAGCTCTGGACCTGCTCTACTGGATCGATTGCCACTTCCCCCAAACTTGCTCATTCTTTGAGTTAATCCACTCAGTTTGGGGAGTCCTTCCCTGGGCTTGTCTTGTGTTGATGGACAACTGAATGAGTGCAAGATTGCCTAGCTCACTGGACCTAGCTAGATGCTTCATATCCCATCCAGACATCCAGTACGGCCATCTTGCTATTCCCCCTACCAAACAGGCCAGGGCAGCCTCCCCATATACTCCCCACTCCTTGCTCTGAATGAAAATCAAATCAATCCTACTGTTGCTCTCATAAAGGGCATATTAATGAACTGCTCCATGGTTCCAATCACAATCCCTGCAACTTTCCAGACCAAAATTCCTTTCTCCAGTCAACATTCCGCCATATCCCTAGCTGTGTTGTCTTCCCCCATTAGAATATAAACTCCTTGAAGAGATGGACAGTCTCACTACTTATTTGTAACCTCAGCACTTAAGACAGTGCATGATGTATTGTAAGCTCTTAATCCATGCTTTTTTTATTCATTCATTCATTTACCTAAGGGGGGGAGTCTATTTAGTGAAAAATCTAATCAAAGGAAAATGATCCATGTTAAAAAAAATTGATTATCAGCCCTTTTAGTCCTAGCCAAAAACTGGAAACTAAGGAGGTGTCCTATTTGATATAGCTAAACAAATTGTGGTATATGAATATCATGGAATATTATTGTGCCTTAAGAAGTGAAAAATGGACAGCTTCAGAGGAAACTTGGAAGACTGTTATGAACTGATGCAAAGTGATGTGAACAAGAACTAGGAGAATATATTCCAGAAACAACACTGCAGAGATAAACAACTTTGAAAAACTTTAAAACTCTGATTAATACAAAGATAAACTAAAAGAATGATTCTGAGGCATGCCACTCACTTCCTGACAGGAGTCATGAACTGAAAGTACAGAGACACATTTTCAGATGTGGTCAATATGGGGATTTGTTTTTCTGGACTATGCATGTATCCAAAGCTTTATTTTGCCTTTTCTTTTCTTTTTAATTAGCTCAATGGCGGAGATAATGGTGGGGACAGATTATGAAAGAAAAAGAATGAGTAACAGTGTCATCAAAGCCAACACTTTTTAAGGAAACTTTGCACCGAAACACAAGCCCACCTAATACATTCCTATAATATCATACATATGTAAGTTATGTCTATGTGTATTCATTATTTTTCATTTAAGATTGGCCTCTGTGTTAATAAAATTGCAATCAATTCTAGAAAAAAAATTCTTGCTTCAGGATGGAGTACCTCTAGATCATCAGTTCGATCTGGTGCCTCCAAAAATATATGTGTGCATGCACATGCATACACACAGATGCATAAGTGTACAATTCAATATATACACACGTATATATACATACATGTGTATATATGCACACATGCATGCATGCAATACATATGCTCACATGTACACATACAGGTACGTGTGCATCTGTTTGCTCTTGTTTCCAAAGTGGATTGTTTAGTTAAAAGTCACTTGCTCACAGCCCAGTCTGATTCTCTGGTGTGAAAATGTGAATCATTAGCCAGTGGGGAAACCAAGGTACAAGTTGGCAGAGTAGATGACCTTTACAAGGTCCCTTCCAGTTTTAAAACCTATGATCCTCTTTTCTTTAACAAGCCATTAGCTTTAGGAACAGATAGGAAATACAAATATAATTTCATGGATTTGCCAAAGGCAGTCTACTGAATGACAAATAGCTTTTTGTCAGGGACCCGACACACCTGCTGTGCTGTGGTAAATTCTCAGGACTCACACTGTCAAACAAAGGCACAGATCTTGTTTTCTTAAAGTGTGGTATCAGTGGTATTAGGAAGCAGAGGACCTTGGAATCTTGGTTCTGTTGCTGACTACCTGTGTAATTATAAGCAAGTCTCTTCAACTCAGGAAAATGTAGAGATTGGACTAGATCTGGGATCCCTTCCAGCATTGAAACCTATGACATAGACAATCCAATAGCTGGGATTTGGCTCTAAAGACAGGTGGCTAAAGGGAGTGTATGAAGCCAAGTGCTATGAGCATCTATCTGCCTCCACTCCTGCAAACCTGGGATCCTCCAGTGTTGAATGACCGTTGGTCCCATATCCCTCCTCTGGGCTTCTGCCCTTTTCAGCTCTGCCTCCCTCCTGAGGCAACATGCTGGGGGTTGGTGTCAGGTGACCAGACCCACAGTCTAGGGCTATTTTGAGCAGGGTGGGGCAGGTCATGCTCTCTAGCCCAGCTGTTGGCTGGGCATAAGTGTCAGGGCCCAGATATGGGTTGGGGGACAGGCACAGACTTCTCTGGACAATGGGGGAAGGGGATACTTCCCCAGCCAAGGGCCCTACAATCCTCCTCCCCTATGGCAGCCTCTTCTGAAGCCCACACCTCCATCCAAAGTCAGACTTCTCCACACAAGTGTGTTATCATGATTTTATTGTGTAAATGTTTAGGGACATTCACTGAGCCCCACACCCTCCCTGCCAACCCCATCCAAATCACAACACTAAGCTAAGGTGGGAGTTAGTGCATGCTCGTCTGGAAAAACGAAAACGTGCCCAACATAGCATAGGGTGGAGTTACTTGGGGGAGGAAGGAATTTATTTGGAAGAGGGGAGACACCCAAGGACTGAGGGGTTCAGTTCACAACTCCATCATTCACTCTATGTGTATGACTCAAGGTCCCTTTTTTATGAAGGGCTTGTAATCTCTAAAGTTTCTTCTAGGTCTAAATCCCTCTCTCTCATGGCCGCCTTTTCAGGAGTAGTTTCAGAGGGAGAATAGGAGAGCTAAGGTTTAGAGGGATCAGAGAAGATGAGGGAGATACAAGGTCAGAGAAGTTGGAGAAAAATTGGGGAAAATATCAGGGAATTTGGGTAGGATCAGAGAAGCTGGGTGTGGATGGGGCTGAAGACAAGTCAGGGGGACAGTATAAGGGAATTAATTAGAGAAAATGAAAGTTTGGTGGGGTCAGAGGACAATATGGAGTGATGTGAGCAGAGAAATTGAGGAGACATAGTAGGGTCAAGGTAGAATCCAGGGGAAGAAGTGTCGGACAAGAATGAGGATGATGTGGGGTCAGAACTGGGGAGGGTAATGTGGGGTCTGTGGTGTAGGTAGACCCAGTGGGAAGCACTCTAGGCCACTTCTTCCTCCTCAGCTTCCTCCTCAAATTCCCCCTCTTCTGCCGTGGCATCTTGGTATTGTTGGTACTCTGAGACTAGGTCATTCATATTGCTTTCAGCCTCAGTGAACTCCATCTCATCCATCCCCTCACCCGTGTACCAGTGAAGGAAGGCCTTCCGGCGGAACATGGCCGTGAACTGCTCGGAGATGCGTTTGAAGAGCTCCTGGATGGCAGTACTGTTGCCGATGAAGGTGGCTGCCATCTTGAGACCCCGGGGTGGGATGTCGCACACGGCTGTTTTGACGTTGTTGGGGATCCATTCCACAAAGTAGCTGCTATTTTTGTTCTGCACGTTCAGCATCTGCTCATCTACCTCCTTCATCGACATGCGGCCACGGAAGACGGCAGCCACTGTCAAATAGCGCCCGTGGCGGGGGTCACAGGCCGCCATCATGTTCTTGGCATCAAACATCTGCTGAGTGAGCTCAGGGACTGTCAATGCCCTGTACTGCTGGCTCCCTCGGCTGGTGAGTGGGGCAAAGCCGGGCATGAAGAAGTGGAGACGGGGGAAGGGGACCATGTTGACCGCAAGCTTGCGCAGGTCAGCATTGAGCTGGCCTGGGAAACGAAGGCAAGTGGTGACTCCACTCATTGTGGCAGACACCAGGTGATTGAGGTCCCCATAGGTGGGTGTAGTGAGCTTGAGAGTACGGAAACAGATGTCATAGAGGGCCTCGTTGTCGATACAGTAGGTCTCATCTGTGTTCTCCACTAGCTGGTGGACGGAGAGGGTAGCATTGTAGGGCTCCACTACCGTGTCTGACACCTTGGGCGAGGGAACCACACTGAACGTGTTCATGATGCGGTCTGGGTACTCCTCACGGATCTTGCTGATCAGCAGGGTGCCCATGCCTGAGCCTGTGCCCCCACCCAGCGAGTGGGTCAGCTGGAAGCCCTGCAGGCAGTCACAGCTCTCCGCCTCCTTCCGAACTACATCCAGGACCGAGTCCACTAATTCAGCACCCTCTGTGTAGTGACCTTTGGCCCAGTTGTTCCCAGCCCCAGACTGGCCTGGAATGAACAAGGGAAGTCCTTAGTCACTGGAGGAGGTGGGAGCTGGGACCCCTAAAGCAAGTAGCCCATATTTTTGGACCAGCGATCCCATAAGCAGCTATAGGAGGAAAGGGGCAGTTGAGAGGTAGGATTCCTGGCTTGTACTGTTTGGGGAGAGCCCCTGAGTTGGTTTCACTTCTGCTAAGAATGAAGCAGTAGAAGACAGAGGGGAGAGATAGGGAAAGCCTGGAAACCTAGTACCCTAAAAAGAAAAGGCAACTCTTAAAGCCTGCCCCCTACTTGTTGGGAGACACATGTGGCTGCTTGGGTCTTAGTAAGCACAATAATAATAACCACGCATCTGTCTCTCTGTGACTCACCAAAGACAAAGTTGTCTGGCCGGAAGATTTGCCCAAAGGGGCCAGAACGGACCGAGTCCATGGTCCCTGGTTCCAGGTCCACCAGCACTGCTCGGGGCACATATTTCCCTCCTGAGGAGAGATATCTTTCAGAGCTGGGGACTCATGTACTCACTCTGTTTCCATTCCCCACCCCCACCCCAGCTCCCAATCAGGGACCCAGGTGAACAGACCACCCCACTGGGGACACAGACCACTAAGCCCCTGGCAGACTGGCTCACCTGTGGCCTCATTGTAGTAAACATTGATCCTTTCCAGCTGTAGGTCACTATCACCATGGTAAGTGCCAGTGGGATCAATGCCATGCTCATCACTGATCACTTCCCAGAACTAGGGCAAGGAAAATCATGAAGAGGGTGGGGCCAGGGCCTCTCCACAGGGAAGAAGGATCCTAAGCGAACCCACCCTACACATACTTACAAAGCACCCACCATATAACTAGGGTCTCAGTCACCTACATATACACGGTGAAGAGAGAAAGGAGGGAGAATCAGTAACACTGTAGGGGTGGTGAGGAATGGAAAGTGTCCAGAGACTGACAATCCATGGGAGGGGCATGGAGAAGACGAAGGGGACATCCACTGGGGAGACAGAGAGATGGACAGAGTAGGTGGAGAAAGCAGGGAGGGCTGCAACAGCTGGCTCCTTCTGGCAAACCCCTCACCCTGGGGGTTCCCGGGGCAGGGCCTGGATGCCTGGACCCAACACAACGGGGGGTGGGGGTGTGTGTGTGTGTGTGTGTGTGTGTGTGTGTGTGTGTGTGTGTGCGCTGGGTGGGAGAGGGTGTTGGCGGAGAGAACAAGGGCGGGTCTATTTATATCAGCAAGGTCTGCTAGAGCTAGAAAGAGCCAGCTGTGCAGCCGGGAGCCCACTACTGTAAGGCCGGGAGTCCCTTCCCCCCCCCCCCCCCCCGCCCCGGCACCGTGGCCACTGCTGCAGGGGCACAAATTGGGATGTTCCCCTCCCCCACCTTATTTGCGTTGTTGTCCCCCGGCCCATTTAAATCTCCCCTCCAAAGGACACCCTCCCTCCTCCAGCTACACCCTCCCTCCCCCATGCAGCTCCTGGGACCCCTCCCCCCCTTCTTTATTAGCAGTCCTGAGTCCACCCCCCTCCACTGCCGTGGGGGAGAACAATACTGCCTCAGTTTCCCTTATAAGACTTCCGGGGGTAGGGGGGAAGCTCTGCTCCTCTCTATATCCCCTACCCCCCACCCTGGGGCCCCAGGCCCTCCCCAGGGACCCTACTCTGCGCACGCGCCGCCTGGAAGGGAGTGAGGGCTGCCCCCACCTTGGCTCCGATCTGGTTGCCGCACTGGCCCGCCTGCAGGTGCACGATCTCGCGCATGGTGGCCGCGGGGGGGCGCGCGCGCGCTCCAGTCCTCGCACTCCTGGGGAGGGGTAGGCACGCGCTGAGTGTGTCTCTCCAGCCAGGCCGCCCCTTATATTTCCCCTCGCGCAGCTTAGCGTCACCATGCACGTCACTTGCTCTCGCCCCCGCCCCCTCCCTCCCTGCTGAGCCGGCTCACTGCCCTCCCACGGTTCCGCCCAGCTAAAATTCTCCCAGGGCGCGTGCGCTTTCCATCTCGCAGCACCTGCAACCTCAGGGGCGGGGGCTGTGGCCGTGGCCACATGGGACTCCTCGTGGGTCCGCCCTGCGCACTGCGACTGCCTCCCTTCTCCTGTGCGAGAGGAGTGACCATTCCAGAGGCCAGCCCCTTCCTCCCCTTACCGCCCCTGGTCTAAGTCTACCCAGCTCAACTGGGACTGGCCTAGCTGCGAACCCTGAACTTGACCTTGGAGCCCCCTCCTCCACGCTGGCCCCCAAGCTGGGTCTCAAGGGGCCTTCAATTCCGTCCTTCTAGATCCTGCCCTTCCCCCTTCTGGGGAAGGGGGAGACATCTTGGACTTATTCTTTCCTGAGGCTCCTGGACCAGAGATCCCGGGAGAAAGTGGTTGGAGTGGTTTGATTTGGGGTGGGTAATGGGGGGTGGGAAGAAAGTTTGAGAAGGTGCAGATTTGGAGCAGAAAGGCACCTCAGAGCTCATCTAGTCCACGCCCACTCCTTCAATTTAGAGGTGAGGGTCGGTTTGGGAGGATCAGAGCTTCATGGTGTGTGAATTTGGAGAGTCAGAGCTATGGGGATTGGTTTGGTGGTAAAGGCTCCCCGGTGTTTGTGTTGGGGCGGGGCGTGGGTCAGAGTGGTGAGTAGTGGAGTTCAAGGGGATCAAAGCTTTATAGAGGCTCAGAGTCACCAGTGTTGGAGGCCCTGGCTCCAGTTAGGAAGGGTATTAGAATTAATGCTAACTTTTCCCCCACTCTCCAGCGTAATGGGTAGGCTGGGCCCTCCCTTTGCTCTGCTGCTCCTGGCTGAGGGTGGGGATGGGTCCTGCATATTCCGCAAAGAGTGCCACAGACATAGTGTTCAGAGCTACTGTATGCTTCTACAATAAGCCTCTTTTGAATACTGCAGTGGGGGGAACCAACATGCATATGACACATGGTTTCTTCCAAGATACTTGCTCCCACCTGGAGTCCCACGCATGTTTTCTCCCCTATCTCTCTATACTCCCCTCCCCCTGGGAAAGACTGCAAATCCCTTCTACTCCGGAAGCTCCGGCCTGATTGCTTCTCTCCTCCAGCTGGGCCTTAATGCTGTTTTGGTTTTTTTCCCTCCAGCCCAGTCCTGAGTTGGAGGAGGGTTCATAGGTGACCCTAGGTCTCGGGGGTCAGGAAGTTTACTTTGCTTTTGGACGGACTGTGCTAGGAGAGGGGTCAAGAACATAGCTTTCTATTTCCCACCCAGTCTTGTTGTCCTTAGGGCTTAGAGGGTCATTAAAGATCATCTAGTTCAGCCCTCCCATCCTCATTTTACAGATAGAGAAATTGAGACCTATAGAGGGGAAGGATCTTAGCTAATATCACACAGTGACTTAGTGGGGATGCTAGGATGAAAACTCATCTGCAGCTTCCCACCTCAGCGCAGGAAACTTGGAGATTCAGCCCCCCTCCCTCAAGGGATATCTGTGATTCCCAGCTTCCCCAGAAGTGTCTGGCCCTGAACCACTGACAACCATTTATTTTAAAGCAATGTACACATGTCACATTATGGGGGACCATCAGGAGGGCTCAAGGTTAAGGACTGAGAGGGAGGATGCCCTGTCCTTCCTGAGTGATGATCCTTAAGTTCTGGGACACCTCCCCCCTTACCATGGAGAGAGGGCAAGAAAAGGGTGCCAATCTGGAGTGGGATTTCTAGTTTTAAGCCCACCTAGGAAGGGCTAGCTAGCTGTTAAGATAGCCTGAAGCAGGCTAGCACTTCCCGTATTGTTCCACAACCATTACAGGTAACTTCTTTTACAGTCTGATAGTTGAGTATTGCCCAGGCAGGTGAAGGTGGGATTCCCTGATGTCTCATTCCTTCCAGTCACTTGGCATCTTCCGGTTGTGTTGGGGGCCTCTGTTAAAGAGTAGGGTCTGGACCTGTTGACCCATGATCTTCAAACAGTATTTAATGTGTTTGGGGAGGTAGGAAAGAAGAGAGGGAGCAGTAGGGTGCGTTTGGTGGCCCTGGTGGGAGAACACCAAGCTTGTTTCCCATGGCTGGTGGGCTGCTGGGGTTTGGAGGGACACCAAGATTAGCAGCTAGTCTGTTCACCCAAATCCTGGCTCTCAGAGCAGGAGGAAGAGACTGGAGGCCACCTCTTCTTGGAAAGAAACATATCCGAGATAAAGAAGGCCTGTGGGAGGGCGTACCAAGGCAGCTTGTTCTCCCTCTCAGCATTACCTCTGGCATCTGGGATCCCGGCTTCCTCCCTCCCTCCCAGAGCTGTGGGTGGGGAAAAGTCCTGGCCTTGTCTCCTGACCTCTGCCTACCCGCATCACTCCAGAGTGCTTTCCCACTCATCACCTTACTCCATTCCACAGAGGGGAAAATTGAGGCCAAGAAGCAGTTTGCCCAAGGTCACACATCAAGGTTTCAAGTCCCAGTCAGGTCATCCTTTTTCCTATACTAGGATCCCCATGCAACTCACTACTCTGGGCACCCTAGTGTCCCCCATCTCCCTGGGGATGGGACCTACCACCCAGATGGCTATGATCAGCCCCTGTAGCAAGCCAACGAGTATATCCAAAGGATGCTGCCAATAATCTTGAATTTTCAAGTAACCCACCAGCAATGGTAAGGGCAGAAGGATGGTTTGGAGTGTGAGCCTGAGCCATTTGGACCACTCCCAAACGAGGTGAGCCTGCAGATAGAGCTGGAGGTAGGGGGATAGTGAGAGGCCCTCCCAGAGGGCTTGCTTCTGGCTTTTTGCCTGTCCTGTTACTCTCACGTGGCCTGGCAACATGGCTCCTTGGCTTCCCAGACAAAGGCTGGCTGGGTGACAAACACCAGTTCTGTTTGGGTTGTGCCATGCTGTGCCCAGCTCCACAGCCCCTCTCTAGGAGCACAATGAAGTCATCTTTGGATTCTGTGCAGACCCACAGCCGCCTCCCATCCTTCCTTTCACAGATACTCACCAATAGATAGATCGCACAGTACTCAGAGAAGGCAGCGTGGTCAGAAAAGAATGATTTCGTGCAGCGGGGGGCAAGAGGGTCAGCTAATGGAGAAGCTGCCCTTCCACTGAATGCATGCCCTGGAGGATGACGGACTACAGGGCTATCTGCAGCGGCCTTTGCTGCGGCCACCCCCAAACATCCTCCCTCCCCAAAACAAGTCACAGAACTGTAGAACACCTATCAGAACAAGTAGACAGCCAATTAGAGAATGGAATGTCTGAGTAAGGAGGGCCCTTAGAACACAGAACACTCCATGTCAGAACTAGAAGGGGACAGTTGGAACCCAAAGTTTTAAAAACACATGTTTAAAAAAATGTTTTCACATGCAACTGGGAAATAAGAAATACAGGAAATGGGGTACAAAAATCTATCCTGCCCTACAGGAAAATAGAAAGAGAAGGGGATAAGAGAAGGGGGGGAGAGATAGACGAGAAGGGGGGGAGAGATAGACGGGAAGGGGTATTCAGAATGCATGCCATCTTGGAGTGTGGGGAGGGGTGAGATGGGGTGAAAATTTGGAACTCAAAATCTTGTGGATGTAAATGTTGAAAACTAAAAATAAATTTATTAATAATAATAAAAAAAGAACCAGAAGGGGACAATGACCTGCTTAAGTCAGATAATGAATTTAGTAGTAACTTTGGGACTTGAATCCAGGTCTCCTCACCCCCTAGTCTAGTGCCTTTTCCATTATAACCTGATGCCCCATATTACTGATTACCCCCTCCAGACTCCCCTCCGATCTTTCCCGTGCCAGGTGGCAGTTCCCCTTACTGGGCCAGAGATACATCATCCAGGGCCCCAGTGCAGTTATGATAGGTGATGTAGCCAGTGGTGCATTTCAGGTAGGCCAGGTCAGGGTGGCACACAGCCAGGAAGTTGGGGCGGAGACGGCCTGTGAAAATCTTGGCCATGCTGGTGAGGGACTGATTCATAGTGACTACAAAGAGGAAGGCACTCAGCTCCTTGTAGATCACAGTCATGTAGGTATTGCTTACCAGCACTGGCGAGGTCAACTGCTGGCAGCGTAACCACTGTATCTCTCCCAGGGTGATCTGTGGCAGCATTGGAGCCTGTTACCCACTTTGCCCCAGGAAACCCAATGTCCTCTCCAACCTTTTGACAGCTTTGCAAGGGTCTCCCACCTCTATCTTGGAAACCTAGTTTGGGACCACGTGAGTCAAGGTTGGGAGTAGGAGAAGTTGCGATCAAGGGGTTAATTTAATTATATACTCCCCCCCCCCCCCCCCCCCCCCCCCCCCCCGCATCATTTATGTGTATGATAGCCCTCTTGTTCCATTTGGAGGAAGTTCAAAAGACTGCCATCCTGCTCCATTGCAATGGGGTGAAGGCCAGATTTCCTCTACAAGCCTCTTCCCCAAGGGAGGACTTTTGATCTGTGGAAAAATACAGAACTTTCCTCATTGACCAAGAAAATGGAAGGCTTCTGCTATTCACTAACAAAAGAAAAAAAAAAGAGTGGGCTCTCTCATGTTGCCAGAAAAAGGCAGATTTTCTGAATAATAAGAAGCATTTTTATAGCATTTTAAGTTTTGCAAAGAGTTTTAGGGATCTCAGTGGATCTCCACAATTCTGGAGGTGTTATTATCATCCCCTGTATTTTACAGATGAGGAAACTGAAGCACAGAGGCTCCCCTAGGTCACATAACTACTAAGTGTCTGAGGCAGGAATCAAACTCAGGTCTTTCTGACTCGAGTCCAGAAAGTTGGCACTTCCACTAGCTAAAGAAAGAGAGTAGGGGCAGCTAGGTGGCACAGTGGATAAAGCACCAGCTCAGGAGGACCTGAGTTCAAATCCCACCTCAGACAC